GATTTTCTTGATAACGGTGTTAGGATCTACACCGAAACGTCGCATCTATTGTAATAAAGAAGTCTATCCATAAAAAGTGTTCCTCTTCATATATTCCACAAACGCGGTTGAAGGTGTAGGTTAAATCAGTATGTGATATGCTTGTATGCTTTATGTAGACTGCTGTGTAATATAATCTTTAACCTTAAGTCTATCTGACAAAACCGTATCAAATTGAATTTAAGCTTTAAATGCTTCGAATCCATGAACGGTGTAATAGTTTTTAGAAAGGTATGCAAATGTGTCTATGTTTTATAACAAGACCTATTTAACGAAAACACGTAATGATGTATCATTGAACTGCATAACAATACATAATCGGATGTCCTCCTGAAGGGTATGCTACACGCGGGTACTATCGGGTTGTCTACATGGATATGTTGAATACTATATATACTGCTGTATGATGTACATGTATAGCTGGGCAAAATGTCGTATTGGAACCTTGTATATACTAGAAGTTAAATGGTGTGTGGCATTGAGATATATCCCGGGTTAAATGGTGTGTGGCATTGAAGTATATCCCAGGATAAATGGTGTGTGACATTGAGATATACCCCGGGTTAAATGGTGTGTGACATTGGGGGTATATCACAGGATAAATGGTGTGTGATATTGAGATGTATCCAGGGATAAATGGTGTGTGACAATGAAGTATATCCCGGGTTAAATGGTGTGTGACATTGGGGGTATATCACAGGATAAATGGTGGGTGACATTGAGATATATCCAGGGTTAAATGGTGTGTGACATTGATAATATATCCCAGGATAAATGGTGTGTGGCATTGAGATACATCCCGGGTTAAATGGTGTGTGACATTGGGGGTATATCCCAGGATAAATGGTGTGTGACATTGAGGTATATCCCAGGATAAATGGTGTGTGACATTGAGGTATATCCCAGGATAAATGGTGTGTGACATTGAGGTATATCCCAGGATAAATGGTGTGTGACATTGAGGTATATCCCAGGATAAATGGTGTGTGACATTGAAGTATATCCCAGGATAAATGGTGTGTGGCATTGAGGTATATCGCAAGATATAATGGTGTGTGATCGACATTGAGGTGAATCCCAAGATGTATGATGTGTGATATCGGGGCGTATTCCGGGTTAAATGATGTGTTACACATATATATCCTGGTTTATATGTCGTGTGACATTGTGGTATATCCGGGTTAAATGGTGTGTGACACTGTGGTATATCCGGGTTAAATGGTGTGTGACATTGTGGTATATCCGGGTTAAATGGTGTGTGACATTGTGGTATATCCGGGTTAAATGGTGTGTGACATTGTATTATATCCGGGTTAAATGGTGTGTGACATTGTGATATATCCGGGTTAAATGGTGTGTGACATTGTGGTATATCCGGGTTAAATGGTGTGTGACATTGTGGTATATCCGGGTTAAATGACGGCTGTAGTTCAGTCTTCAGTCTGTCATATCCATGTTTACAGCATCAGTAGAGCCTGTGTAAACTTTACCTAAATATTAAAGGAGTGGTGGAGAATATTAAAGGAAGTAAATGGCGGACAACGTGTATTACGTGCGATGCTCTGGAAGAATCAATCCAAATGTAGGCATGACACGTTTCATCCTAAACAACCATGCAGAATAATTCACATGTAAAACTGGGCCTTCCGTTGGAAACACGACTCATACCATAACAGGAATTTGAAAAATAATCTTATATGACACATAGCGCTTATCGAAACAGGAATTGCAAATATAATCTGCTTAGGCATATGGCTAAACAAAATAGATATAGGAAGCAGAAAGTGAAATATACAGGGGAAAGAAATATAAATATCAACCACAAGGCCTACCGAAGGAAGGAGGAACGCTCGAAACGAGACAAAGACTTCCAGATCCATTATTAAAAATTAATAAACAAAGAGCAGACAAAAAGCATAAATATATAGAATTATAGACATGAGACAAGAAGCTTAACCAAACAGAAATATTACTTTACAAGATACACAGAGCAAAGGACAAGGATGTGAACCAACAAAACTATTCCATTTGAAGCCCAGAGTCAACACATCACATTGGAACATTAAGTACAAGAGACGATAGGCAAAAAAAAAAAAAAGGATTCAGATAAACACATATGAAAGAGACTTGCATTTGAATAAATTAAAATACACTTCTAGCAGCAAAGGGAATAATTTTACACAGAAAAATAGTTAGGAATACTAAAACATATGAGTAAATTCTAAAAGGATGAGTTACAGGTACTCAGCAAAATCTTCAGCATACAATGATTAATCATAGGCGGATCCAGAAATTTTCTAAGGGTGGTGGGTGGGTAGTGCGGGTTTCAGTCATTTTTAAAGGGGGGGGGGGGGATCGAACCCCCTGAACCTCCCCCTCTGGATCCGCCACTGATTAATGATATATGTTAAATCAAAGTCACTGATAACAATCATAAAATCAAAAGCCAATAAATAAATGTTAACATTTTCTTTTGGACATTAAGGGTGTAGTTAAAACATAAAGATTACAAAATATATTTAAAGAAAGAATCTACCACAAAATGAAGAGAAATGGTGATTTAAAAGGTATGAAGTACAGATTGAGAATGTGAAAAACAACTTAACACTAACAACCAGGTAAACCACGAGGGTTTTATCTACCAATCCCATCCTCCTCTTGTGAAAAGATTGTTAAACCCCTCTTCCTACACCGACACGCAGAATAAATGGTGGGACCTTCCCTAAGTGGGATAACAATTTGTCAGAAAGGTATGGGGTAAAAATTGATTAAAAGATATATATGGAATATAAGGAGATGATAATTAAAATTTAAGGGAAGGTCAGAGAACAATTTGTCAGAAACGGTAAAAAATATATAGAGATTATATGTGGGATACAAGGAGATGATAGGTAAATTGTATGGGAAGGTAAATGAATGTCCTATCACTATATCAGGGGAAACTGACTCTTGAGAAAACGTATAGCAATAATCTGTCAAAATGATAGGGGGACTTAAAACAGTTCCTGATGGGTACTGAGAGGCATATTAGTTGTTTGGGGTGGGCGAATGAACAACCGATTGTGACTAGAGGTGTATGAATGGCGAATGGTTTGGAGGTGTGTGAATGATCATTGAATTGCCTACAAGGTTCAGAAGGTGGAGAATGGATGTATGTCCAACAGGTTCAGAGGATGTGGAACGAAGGATGAATGGACGATGGATGGAAACAGGGGGAATGTGGAAGAGAGTGGAAGAAAGATGTGTCAGGTGACAAGGGTGGAAGAAGGATGAATGAACTGTCAGATTACAAGGATGGAAGAAGGATGTGTCAGGTTACAAGGGTGGAAGAAGGATGTGTCAGGTTACAAGGGTGGAAGAAGGATGTGTCAGGTTACAAGGGTGGAAGAAGGATATGTCAGGTTACAAGGGTGGAAGAAGGATATGTCAGGTTACAAGAATGGAAGAAGGATATGTCAGGTCAAAAGGGTGGAAGAAGGATGTGTCAGGTTACAAGGATGGAAGAAGAATGAGTCAGGTTACAAGGGTGGAAGAAGGATGAATATCGTGCCAGGTTAAGAAGGTGGGAGTGAGATGAGTCAGGTAACAATGGTGGGAGAAGGGTGTGTCAGGTCACAAGGGTGGAAGAAGGATGTGTCAGGTTACAAGGGTGGAAGAAGGATATGTCAGGTAAAAGGGTGGAAGAAGGATGTGTCAGGTTACAAGGGTGGAAGAAGGATATGTCAGGTTACAAGGGTGGAAGAAGGATGTGTCAGGTTACAAGGGTGGAAGAAGGATGTGTCAGGTTACAAGGATGGAAAAAGGATGTGTCAGGTTACAAGGATGGAAGAAGGATGTGTCAGGTTACAAGGATGAAGAAGGATGTGTCAGGTTACACGGGTGGAAGAAGGATGCGTCAGGTTACAAGGATGGAAGAAGGATGTGTCAGGTTACAAGGGAGGAAGAAGGATATGTCAGGTTACAAGGGTGGAAGAAGGATGTGTCAGGTTACAAGGGTGGAAGAAGGATATGTCAGGTTACAAGGGTGGAAGAAGGATATGTCAGGTTACAAGGGTGGAAGAAGGATGTGTCAGGTTACAAGGATGGAAAAAGGATGTGTCAGGTTACAAGGATGGAAGAAGGATGTGTCAGGTTACAAGGATTAAAGAAGGATGTATCAGGTTACACGGGTGGAAGAAGGATGCGTCAGGTTACAAGGATGGAAGAAGGATGTGTCAGGTTACAAGGGAGGAAGAAGGATATGTCAGGTTACAAGGGTGGAAGAAGGATGTATCAGGTTACAAGGGTGGAAGAAGGATATGTCAGGTTACAAGGGTGGAAGAAGGATGTATCAGGTTACAAGGATGGAAGAAGGATATGTCAGGTTACAAGGATGGAAGAAGGATGTCTCAGGTTACATGGATTGAAGAAGGATGTGTAGGGTTACAAGGATCGAAGAAGGATGCGTCAGGTTACAAGGTTGGAAGAAGGATGTTTCAGGTTACAAGGGTGGAAGAAGGATGAATGTCTTGTCAGGTTAAGAGGGTGGAAGAAGGATGCGTCAGGTTACAAGGGTGGAAGAAGGATGTGTCAGGTTACAAGGGTGGAAGAAGGATGAATGTCTTGTCAGGTTAAGTGGGTGGAAGAAGGAGGTGTCAGGTTAAGAGGGTGGAAGAAGGATGCGTCAGGCTACAAGGGTGGAAGAAGGATATGTCAGGTTACAAGGCTGGAGGAAGGATGAATGTCTTGTCAGGTAAAGAGGGTGGGAGTGAGATGTGTCAGGTTACATGGGTGGAAGAAGGATGAATGTCTTGTCAGGAACAAGGATGGAGGTAAAATGAATGACCAGCTACGTTAAGAGGATGTGGACTAAGGATGAAGAGACAAAGGTTAAGATGGTTGATGATGAATGAATGACCTACCAGATTAAGAGGGTGGATGAGACAAAGGTTAAGATGGTTGATGATGAATGAATGACCTACCAGATTAAGAGGGTGGATGAGCTGTTGTTGAGTCTCTACATCCTCTGCGTCCAGAATCTGCTGTAGGTGGGCGATATAGCTCGACGCCAGACGAAGAGTGTCCAACTTTGACAGTTTAGTGTCCGCGGGTACCCATGGCAGGGTGGTTTTCAGTTTGGAAAAAGCTTTACTTAGCACCCTCATACGAGCTCTTTCTCGCGCATTGGCAGCGTTTCTTTGGATGGGTTTACCCATTTTCGCATGCTTCGAGTCACAGGTGACATCCTCCTTCCTGCGCCTCGGCATGGTGACGACTGATTGTCTGTCAACCTCCTCTTCCCTGTCACATATCACACGTGGGAGAAGATTACCAAAGTCGACTCCGAATTACCACATATGTATTATCACAGAGATCATCGTAATACTGGCCTACACAAACAATATAGGTGTTATAAAAAACACATCGGGCTGCCCAATACATATATGTTGCACCACAAGATCAAAGCCGTGTCCTCATCCTCATCTTCTTCGACCTACCACAGGTGTCAAGCGTCCTATTGGGATTCGACGATGCGCACGACGACCCAGCTAGGCATACCTGAATCCGCGAAAGGCCACTCAACCCGCCTCCAGCAGCTTTCTCCGTCCGAAGGGACGTGTGTCAGGAAGTTGGTCAACTTTCAAGATCGTCAGTTACCAGCCGGTCTGTCTGTAGCACGCCTGTCTTATGAGCCTGACCATTCCAGCGTACTGTTGGAGCGACATCTCTCAGAGGCGGAGTCACGTGACCGTATCATGTGACGTACATATCGCGAGGTTTGGGAATGTTTATACAGGGGGAATCGCCTTCAGATAACACGACACTAGCACCAATTTAAATTGCGTAAAACTGGAGTATCGGATACAGTTATCTGGCGAGACGGAGCAAAGTGCTTGTAGGAGAAAGCAGAACGATATCTGGGAAGTCTTTCGTGCTTCCATTATGTTCCAGCATGGTAATCCCGCCATTGTATCCAGGAGGATGACTAGACTTGCAGGTGTGACTTCAGGGCCAACTGTAAAACCGTTCGTTTCACTTTCCTCAGTTACTCAGTTATCCGTTAATAGAGAGGCACGTGGATGTTCACCTAACTAGTTGATACAACTGTGTGGGTAATTAGTAGATATAAATATCCAGCTTGTAGATATAAGCAGATACCTTACAAGTGTATAACAAGCATATATATCACTAGTTGATTAAAGCATATGTTCATTGACATATACAAGCTTATATGTACTGACTGACTGACTGAGTATGGTTTTACGCCGTTTTTAGCAATATTCCAGCAATATCACGGCGGGGGACACCAGAAATGGGCTTCACAAATTGTACCCATGTGAGGAATCGAACCCGGGCCTTCGGCGTGACGAGCGAACGCTTTAACCACTAGGCTACCCCACCGCCCCCAAGCTTATATGTAAGTAGTGTAAGTAGATAAGTATGTAACAACCATATATCTAGCTGGTTGGTGTAAGCATTTGTCTATTGGCATATACAAGTTTATATGTGACTAATAGGGGTGTACACACATACACACACACACACAGACACAAACACACACATACAGACACACCGGGACACAGACACGCAGACAGACACGCACACATACACTCATACAGTCATAGACACATACATACATACATACATACATACATACATACATACATACATACATACATACATACATACATACATACATACATACATACATACATACATACATACATACATACATACATACATACATACATACTAAACTGTATTTATGTACCTGTTAAACTGTCTTTAAAATACCATAGAAAAGAACCAAAAGAAGCCCTCTCAATGTTTATGAAATCTGAACTTGCCAAAGTTTTGCAGATTTGCGATTTCTGATATAAATATATTTATTTCAGGGTCTGTACAAGTGACTAACCTCGCCAGTAGAGATAAAAGGCTGTCCATTTCAAATTGATGCCTAACAAACACATATACATGCATATACCTAGCCAGTGGATATACAAACATAAGCCCAACAGTACTGATTCAAGGATATTTGTCACAATTTGACACAGGCATATGCCCTATCAGAAGATGTTAAGATTTTTTCTCTTTTTTTTGTCAAACCACTTGTTTATCAGACCGAGTGAAGCGGCAAAGTTGATACTTCATTTAAGAAAGAAACTGTACAAACAGAGCATCACAGTTAAGCATTATGCATCTTGATGAAAATAAACAAAAGTAAACATGTTCATATGTCTAAGGTTTCCATGTTTTATATCAAATTTTGCACAGTTAGAAACATACGCGCAGTTTTCCTATAAAAACATATCTGCTTCGAAATTGTGCCTGTAAAGACGTTTAGAAATTGCTTCGTGTGGGTAAGAATTAGGACATTTAAATTACAAATGGTATTTGTTTTTCCTATTTGCTATTTTTTAATATATTAACAACTCCACTGTTTCTAGTATACATACATTAATACATTAATAAGAAAGGTAGGGTACTTTATAGATAGTTGTTATCCACAAAGCAGACTAACGCTTAGTCTCTGAATGTATATAATTTTGATAGCAATGATTAAACCCATTTAAATTGAAAAGGAACCCCAGTGAGATGGGAAATTCTGAACCTGAGGGAATCTAGACTTGCTTACTTTAGGGCCTTAGCATTGCAGGGAGTGCTAGGCAGTAAGGACAATAATGTGGTTCAGGGATCGTGATACAGACTAGCCATGAAGTATTATACCTTTCTTATTATTCATCAACTTATAAAATGCCAATCAAATAGATTAAGCCACTAAGCTTGTCATATATTGTAAAATTGTTTGATGTACAGCAGCCAGGAGGACGCTGGGTTTGATATAGGCCAAGAACTCTGCCGGTGAAACTCCATGTGATCCATAATCTATTTTTCTTGATTAATGTAAAACTGAAAACAGTCACAAATGATTAGTGTGGATTATTTGTTGTTGTTTTTATGGCTGAAACAGTCACTTGGGACATGTTCATAACACGATTGCACAACAGGTCACTCAATCAAAGACATCGGGATACAAATAAAAAATCATAAGTGTAAAAGATCTCTCTTTGAACAAATGATAATAACTTCAAGTGAAAACGGTTAGAATACGTTATTTTTAAAGATATTTGAAGCGCAACTGTGGCCAACTCTATTACATGGTTCCAGTTGTTGGGATTCCAGCAACATGACAAACTTGAAAAACTCAATCTGGTTGTCTTAGAATGGTTCTTAATGATGGATTACAAACCCAAATTGCTATAGTATATGGAATAACATGTAGCTTTCGGATATATACTGGACAAAATAAGTTAGGGATATTGGTATTTTTATGATTGATATTTTATCAGTGTGTCAATGAATAAATAGATAATTATTCATGATTTGAAAATTTACATATATCCCTAACTATTTTTGTCCATTATATATAAACTCTCTCCTGAGAACAATAATGACTTCAGTAGTTCATATGCATGAAAACTGTTTGGAAGTCTGTGTCACGACCCCTACAGTATATTATTTCCCCTTTCCAAACAGCCATTTTTCTAATGCAGGAACTCGAAATGAAGTAAGTCTAGAGACGGGGCTCCTTCCCATTTTTAAGGATGAGTGAGTGAGTTTAGTTTCACACAGCACTCAGCAATATTCCAGCTATATGGCGGCGGTCTGTAAATAATCGAGTCTGGACCAGACAATCCAGTGATCAACAACATGAGCATTGATCTGCGCAACTGGGAACCGATGACATGTGTCAACCAAACCAGCGAGCCTGACCACCCGATCCCGTTAGTCGCCTCATACGACAAGCATTGGTTACTGAAGGTTCATTCTAACCCGGATCTTCACGGGGAGACAAACATGGGTTACTGAAGGTTCATTCTAACCCGGATCTTCACGGGTCCATTTGTAATGGGGTTATTTGTTTCTATCAAAAGTCTTTATTTCTACACGTCAGTCTTAACGATTACCTTAAAGGATTATAACATTTTAGTGTACAAAGATAACAGTTGTCACCATACAATGGTCTAAATATACGTTTCATTATAACATTTTTCACATAGTTTTGAATTTGTTTGGATAACTCAGATGGCCAACATCTCCCCTTTCTCTACATATTTAAGGATACATGTATCAATATGTTTTTCCTAAACTGGCACTCGCTTGTTAATTTAAGTTCAGATTTCTGTTTTATAAATAGAATTTAAGAGTCTATTAGAACTAGAGATATATCTCCCAGTCGTATCTGACAGAAAGTTTAGAAACATTCTCTTTTGAACGGGGAGAGGGTTTTGTCGCTTTTAATTAAGATTTAGAGCGGGTATTTTTTATACTGAAAACCTGTGTGAAGGGAGATATGTGATAATTGATGGATCACAAGGAATGCATCTAGTTTGCAATTACGGCACAGAAGACGAATTCCACTTTCTATGTATATTCTTACATAAAGTGTAGATCCAGGAAGGTATATATTTCGGAATTGCTTTGGAAATATATTATAACTTAAATACCAGTTTGGTCACACGCAATGAGCGTTTATGAGAATATTTTATCACTTTTTGCATTCATTTTATAACGAAACCAGGTTTTGATGAACTGACATTGCCATAGTGTGTTTGTATGTATGCATGGTATGTTTGCACTTGCTCTCTGTGTATGGTTTTGTAAATGGGCCTGATGATTTCCTAAAACCTCTTTCTCTCTTCCACATCCACAAGTTAATTCCGCTAAAAGCAGAGTCGACGTTTATAATGAAATGACGGATATAACGATATTCTTTGTATTTTGTACTTTTAGTCGAAATGCGTATAATGAACTAAAATTATTAAATTAGAGGTCCCTTTCAGTTCGTTCAAACCATCTAGTTAACATTTTCGGTACAGAATCCACTTTCTATGTATATTCTAACATAAATTGTAGATCTTAGTATAGGAAGGTATATATTCCGGAATGGCTTTGGAAATATATTTGACCTCAAATGCCAGGCTGGTCACAAGCAATGGACGTTTTACCATACGTTTACATACTTGTTATAACGAAAGCAGGATTTAAGAACTGACATTGTCATGATGATTACCTCTCCATATTGTTATTTAAAGTGACCATTTTCATGACGTGAATGTATCGATTTTCGATTTTCAATTTGTTTTGTTTGTCTGTTGGGTCTAATTGATATCTAGACAACCATAGGTGAACTTGAGTCTCGATCTATAACCTCCCTTGAACCTACGTAAGAAATGGTTTCCAATGTGTACCCATAGATCTGTATACTAGTATCTAAAACATAGTCTCCAACATGTATCCTTGGGTCTATGTGTGTAAAAGATGGTCTCCTATGTGTAACCATCGCTTTGCACATTTAAGAAATGGTCTCCTATATGTACCCATGGATCTGTATATGCAAGAAATGGTCTCCTATATGTACCCATGGATCTGTAGATGCAAAAATGGTCTCCTATATGTATCCATGGATCTGTATATGCAAGAAATGGTCTCCTATATGTACCCATGGATCTGTATATGCAAGAAATGGTCTCCTATATGTATCCATGGATCTGTATATGCAAGAAATGGTCTCCTATATGTACCCATGGATCTGTATATGCAAGAAATGGTCTCCTATATGTACCCATGGATCTGTATATGCAAGAAATGGTCTCCTATATGTACCCATG